GGAGGGGTGCCCACCTAGCCCTGCTCCTCTCCCCAGAGGCAGGGGTGGAAGGGTGGGAGTGAGGACAGAGCTGCGGGCAATGCCCCACCCCCGGCCCAGGCTGGGCCTCCCCTGGGGCTTCCAGGAGCTCAGGTCCTGCACAGACTCAGGGAGTCAGCGCTCAGGGCAGGAATGAGTCTGGGGGAAAGGGTGGAGACAGGACAGCGACAGTCTCAGGGACCATTCTCTGCCTCTGTCCGTTAGATGGTCAATCTGGGGAGTGAGCAATAGCATATGGGAGAGCCGGTTTAATTTGCTTTCATTTAACATCCATTTATTGAGCATCTGCTGTGTGCCAGGCCCTGTGTCAGGCGCCGGTGATGCGCACAAAGCCATACGGAGTCGGGAACTGCCAGGTCAGCACTGTGGGACCGGGATTAATTTTTTGGTGCATCTAATTCCATTTGCACAGCCACTTCCAGGGCTGGAGTTGGGGAAGAAGGAAGAGATTCCAGAATCTGAGCTCTGGGAAGGGAGGAGCGGAAAGGAAGAAGATGCAGCCGGGAAGAGGGTGAGGCCGGGCACAGTGGCGGATGGGCAACCAGCCAGATACCTCCTGGGTGGGGTGGGTCCAGCCCACCTGGACTTTCTAACTCTTCCGCTGGGTACCTAACTGCCAATCAACACACTGCCAATGGGGTAGGCTAAGCCACCAGAATGCCTGGGGGCAGGGGACATTGCCCATCTTTCAAGCCAACCAGCTGAGAGGGGAGAGGTGGGTGGTGGGCACCTCATGCCAGCTGAAACCAAGGGTGTAATACATTCTGTAGTTTGCAGGTATCATTTTTTGGCAACCTCTCAAGTGCCCTCCTCTCCCAGGATGAGTGAGGATCTGGGCTGATGGTGAGGACCTTTCTTTTTCCAGGACTCATAACATTCAGAATTATTTGTAAGATCCCTAGGTTTAGTCTAAGAAATCCTAACTCTCCATAAAGTAGCCCAAGGCTTCTGGGTTCCTTCCCTTCTCTGTCCTGACCCAGCGGGGCCCAGGGAGGGTAAGTCCTCTCCGAGGACCTCATGGGCCCAAGCGGATGGAGATGGGCCAGGATCCACCTTTGCCCCAGGTGCCCACCCTCATATGCACCTTTTTCTCAAGCCTTTTAGGGTCTCCTCCAGAAGTCTCAGAGAGCTGCCTCCCCCAGGGCCATGAGGTTGGGAACAAGCGAGGGCTTCTGTGAATAGAGGTGGGAAAGCGGTGAGATGCTTCCACAGCCGCGAGCTCTCTACCCTGCTTTCTAGTTTAGAGCAGCAAGCTGTTTCTTCTGCGCTGTGGGCTCAAGCCCCACCTGGCCGCATGTACCCACCACTGCGCTCTGCTGGGTTCAGTCCTCGGGCTTTCTCAGCTGCCCTACCTCTCCTGCTCTCAGAACCCCCGTCTGTCCCCTCCTTCTAATTAAAGGCCATCGTAAAGAGAGATGGGCTGGCCAACTCACGGAACTTAGCTCATAAGAACAAAGCACAATTATTCAGGACTGAAATGCCTTGAGGTGCCTTGGAACTGGCTTTGGAAATATCTGCCCCTAGATATGGACTCATCACACTTACCCCAGTTAAGAAAAGGAAATGGTGACTGGATCCATACTTCTCCCTGTGAGTCTCCTTGGGGCGTTGGGCTGGTAAATATTTACAAGGCCAGGTTAAGCAGATGGGTAATGGAAAATACTGGCCAGGTCCAAAGGATAGTCCCAGGCCATAGGAACGGCTTGGTGGGTTGGAACGGGTGGCGAATCACGAGATTCTCCTTCCTACTTATGTCTCGCCGTGCCTCTTGCTGACGTCTCCCTTTATTAAAGCTTGCTGATGCATTTGTACAGTCTCTATATAGGTATAGCTATATTATATATACAAATATAAAACATCTCACTATGTCCACCCCAAACGATACACCAGGGAGGGAAACAATCATCTCCTAATGTTTTGAGTTGATTCACGAAAGTCAAATTATGGAATGCTTTTACTGCTTGTTGAGCACTTGGCGGGGAAAATTCAATGACATTTGCACCCTCAAGGTTGCTGTGCTGTGGTGGCCGCAAGAGGTGGTGGGAGAGAAGCTAACCGGTCCCCTGTGGCCCGGCTGCTATGACTGAGTTGCCTTTGCAGTTTGTCTTCTCGATTGGATCTATTGCTATAATAAACAGATTGTCTTCCCTGAACTTCCTTGAGTGTGGCTTTTTCAGAGCGCAGACGGGGGTAAGCTTAGGCTTTTGCCAGGATCCTGTTGGGACCCTCGACGCTCCTTTCCTGGCAACACCACTGACAACGCCCAGTCCCCAAGGGTGAGGTTCTAGTCCACCCTTGTTGACAGATGTCGCAGCGCCTCGCCTTTGCCTTCCCAGAATCCTGGGAGACTCCCAGGAGCACTCTGGGGACAGGGCGGCTAAAAAGCCACTTCTTGGAGGGCTCTTGGCTATTTCTGAGGTGATGACAATCTTTGAAGCCCCCCAAGGCTGGCTGTTACACGGATGCTCTCTATCCCTTCTGTGAACAGAGGGCCTTCCTTCCGGCCTATCTCCAAGCAGCGTCTAACTAGGCAGCGCCCCTGCAGCCGGTCAGAGCCTGCCCTCGGGAGGGTGGCTGGGGGAAGAGTCAGGCTGTTCATGTCCCATCTGCATACTGCTGCACCCCATTTGGTACCACTGAATCAGCCCAAGCTCAGCCCCAAGGCAACCCCTGGCCCACAGGCCTCACCATTGCAGACACACGTGTCTTTTCTCTCTTGGTCCCTGTTCTCATGTCTCTGTGTTTTCTCTCTTACACACACACACACTCACACACTTGCCAGATGAGAAAACTCTCAACTTTCTGAACAGCAAGGTAATGCTGAAGTGGTTGGTTCCTACATTTCTCCTGGTTTGTCATTTCTGTTTGCATCCTGGTGACTTAGAGACCTTGGCCAGTGGTTGGTGGCAGATGCATTTTAGACTATTCCAGGAGGATCCTGACACTGATGGTCCCAATGCCTGCCAGGATTACTGCTGCAACCAGGAGAGAAGCCAGAAAGCAAGTGGCAGCATGCAGCAGTGGTGGCTTGCATCTGACAGGACCAAAGTTACCTTGGTTTAAAAAGGTGTCTGCCCTCCAGAGCCTGCCCCAAATGGGATGTCAGAGAGGGTGCTTTTCTGCTGAACAGATAGGGAAAC